AGATGGGAGAGTGGTCATGAGATTAGCTGCGGATAGCCAGACCTTATCTCCTATCTTCCATGGCAGGTACTTCTTTTTATGCGTTCTTTCTGCCATTCGCTGCATAGCGATATTGTGACAAGAAATAGCTTCTTCCCTGATCTTCTGCAGGGCACGGACTCTTTCTTCTACGGCAGGTGTATCAGACGATGATAACACATGGGGAATACCGCGAGGTTCATATCCCATCATGAGGAAGAACAGGGATGCGTTCCTTGCTTCGTGTTTCCGATGATTGTGCACAAATTCAGCGAGAGGTAGGTGATCCGACCATTCGTAAGGATTACTCCTGCAGTATATCCTGAGATATGTTTCTATTTCTTGATTGAGTCGTTCCGTCTGTCCATCAGTCTGTGGGTGGTACACCGTGGAGGCGGCGATTTGGTATCCTAGAAGGCGTGCTAATTCTCTTGAGAACTTCGAGATGAATTGGGGACCTCGGTCCGAGATTACTTTCTCGTGAAGTCCGAAACGTTTGAACACGTTTTTGAAAAATAGTTTAGCCACTCCTTCGGAAGAGATGTTTTTGTTACAAGGAGAAATAATCACCCCCTTCGTAAGGCCATGGTCTACCACGACCATGAGGGAGTCAAAACCGTTGGAGACGGGCAGGTCGGTGACTAGGTCAACAGAGACCTGAGAAAAGGGGCGTGTGGCGGAGGAGGGGATGGGAACAAGGGGGGGAGTAACGGGGTGAGTGTCAGCCTTCATCTGCTGACAGAGGGCACACCCAGCGACGTAGGAGCGAATGAAGGTGCCCATGGCGGGCCACCAATAGTCGCGTTTGACGAGTTCTTCAGTTTTAAACTGACCGGGATGACCGGCCGTAGGGTGGTCGTAGTGCCGAAGCAACACCGCTGATCGGTGCGAAGGCAGGACGTAGGCGCGAGCTTTATAATATAGCACCCCGTCAGAGATTTTCCAGTCAGAGAGTGCTGATTTCATTGGCGGCAAACAAAGCCTGTCCAGGGCGTCGCTGGCGGTGGAGAAAACCGGGTCGTCTAGAGAGTTCGTGGCGATGGCAGTGGAAAGCTCATCGTCGAGCAGCCGTATGAACATGGAGTCGGGGAGGAGCACGCGATCTTCATTGTCATGGTCGCCTAGACCGTGATCCGGCTGTCGGGAAAGCGCGTCAGGTGCTGCGAGTTTAGTCCCGGGGACGTGGTGTAATTCTAAGTCATAATTGGACAGAACGAGCTGCCAACATGCTTGTCTACGAGAAAGTTTCTGTGCTTTCGAGAAGTAGAGGAGGTTCAAATGGTCAGTGAAGACAAGGATGGGATGAGGATTCCCTTCCAAATAATGACACCATTCATTGAGAGCGCGAATAATAGCAAGTAGTTCGCAGTCAAAGATCTCATAGTTCCGTTCGGCGGGGTTGAAGGATTGCGAAATGTATTCGCAAGGATGATAAACGCCGTTTTCATCCGTCTGGAGAAGTACTGCTCCAGTCGCTACAAGGGAAGTGTCTGTGGCAAGGGCAAACTGGCGCGTAGGGTCAGGGTTTCGTAGCACAGGCTTTGTCGTGAAACAGTGCTTGAGTTTATCGAAGGAGTCCTGAGATTCGGGAGTCCAAGCGAAGGTTTGATCTTTTCGAGTGAGATTGATAAGTGGCCGGGCGATGTCGGAGTAATGAGATATGAATGCTCTGTAAAAGTTGCAGAATCCAAGGAAAGAATGAACATCTTTTACGGAGGTCGGGGTCAGCCAGTCTTTTATTCCGTCAACCTTGGCGTGTTCCATGGCTACTTCTCCTGGGCGAATAACCATCCCGAGGTACTCCACTTCTTTTGCGTCGAAAGTACACTTTTCCGGTTTTACGAACAGCTGTTCCCTATGAAGAACCTCTAATACTCTTTTGGTTCGTTCGCGATGTTCCGTGAGATCCGAGGAAAAGATGAGTAGATCATCCATGTATATGACGATCCATCCTTCATTTATCTCATTCTGGAAGCGATTATTCATGTAGGACTGAAAAGTGGCAGGGGAGTTTGTTAGTCCGAAGAACATGACAGTTGGTTCGAACAGGCCTTCCTCGGTTGTGAAAGCGGCTTTCCATCTGTCCTCGGGATGAATTCTGATGTTGTTATAACCAGAACGTATATCGATTTTGGTGAAATACTGAGCTTTGTAGAGTCGTTCAATGAGGGTTTTTGGGAGAGGAAGCGGGTATTGGTTGCGCACGGTCCAGTCATTAAGGTATCAGTAGTCCTGGCAGGGGCGAAGTTCGCCGCTCTTCTTTCCTACAAAGAAGAATCCACTGGCTTGTGGGGACTTTGAGGGTATAATGAATCCTTTCTCTGTGTTCTCTTTGATAAATGTTTTCACTGCTTCTCTCTCCTTTCCTGACAGCGGGTAGATTTTGGATGTTCGTGGCAAGAATCCGGGTTTCAGATCAATCCGATGATCTATACCAGGTCGTTCCGGGGGTAGTTTGGGTGGGACGAGTTCTTCGAAAGTTTTCTTCATCTTTTCTTTCTCTCCGGCAACGGCAAATTCTTGAGCTTTATTGCTAGTTTTCGAGTAACTTTGTTCTTGCTTAGAGGTACCATCCCTCGTAAGAGGGGTGTCGAAAGAAATGTCGGAGATTACTCTGACTTGGGAACCATCCGGGGAGTATTTGATTAAGACGTCTTCGTCGTTCAAGGGATAGAGGGAGGGGTCGACGACCGGTGGTGCATAATTTTCCGACCATACGTCTTCCTTGGTATCATAGTCCGGTTCATCTTGATCCGGTACAAGGCGGGGGAGTTCTTCGTCAGTAATTTCCTCCACGGAAGCTCGAGGGTAAACAGGCGTTGCGGAGATTTTCTTCAATTTAGAATTCTTCCACTCGTGAGACGTTTCCTTTTCAATCGGAGTTGCATGAGAGGAAAATAGCGGGGAAAGGCCACGCCGTTTTCTGGATTGATCAATCTTCTCCTCAAGCTGAAGCGATCGCTCGTTCGATGGAAGAGACAGTTCTTTATTCATCCAGTTGATTGTTGGATTTAGTGCTTTTAACCAGGGGAATCTGAGCAAAATTTTATCTTTCTTCGCAAGTTTGGTTATGTTGAATTTCCCTATCATGGTTTGTTCGTCGATTTTGACAGTGAGGATGCAATAGCGGGATATTAGTCCTCCTTTTGCGTCTGATCCGTCAGCGGTTGTGACCGAAAAAGGTTTCGAGAGTTTATGGGTCCTGATCCCATGTAGTTTGCAGAACGCTTCACTGATGAAGGTTCCACTCGCTCCAGAGTCAACGACCATTGAGGTGTCGATGGTTTTCATACGCTTGGTTGAGATGATAGTAGCGGGAACGTGGAGTTCCTTCTTATTTCCAAGTGATTGTACAAGTCGTATAGGGACAGAAGGTTCTGACATTGATACAGTCTTCTGTTTTAAAAATCCATTTCCACGAAGCGTCGGTTGACTTCTTCTTCCTCATCACTGCTCTCCTCTTTTTCCACTTTTCTGCGGATGGGTATTTTCTTTTTATCTTCTCTTGGGTGGAACGTAGTGTCGTTTGCTCGATGACCTGTCTGGTGGCAGTTGAAGCAGCGTCCTTCTTTTAGGTGCCTCTTTACTTCGGACTCGGAGAGTCGGTCTACTTCCATAGCGTCGTTCCTGCGAGGAGTGAAGTGGCAATCACCGTACTTCTTCTTTTTCTGGTGGTAGTGGGCAGGGTTTTCTCGCTTCTGTATTGCTTTCAACCTTTGGAAGGCATTGTCCAGGTTGATGCATGTAGCGATGACGGTTTCGAAGTCATCTAGACTTTCTCCGGTGTGGTAGAGGTTGTTGCGAAGTCCTACATCAAGACCTTCGCAGAAGAACTCTACTTTGGTGACGTTCTCAGTTATCCCTGCTTTGTGGGCTAGGAGGCGATAATTGGAGATGTACGTGTGGAGGTCTCCTTTCATTCCAAGGGCTCGGACTTTAGCCATGGCTGTTCCAGCCGGGTCTATAGCTCCGAAGGCCTCTTTGAATGCGACTTTGAAGTCGTCCCAGGTGCCGTATCCGATGAGGTTTCCGGCAGTATTCTTTCTTTTGGAGTTCTGAGCAGTCTCCATAAAATCTTCTTTCCAAGCAGCTGCATTGCCCTTGGTCATGAACGAGAGTGCGAAGATTACTCTCTTCTTATCACTGTCGTAGATCTTGTCGTTGATGTCTAAGTACGCATTACAGTTCAACATGAACCTGTGCGATTCGTCGCGGTCTCCATCGAATTCGGGGGGAGAACCGATCTTGATTTCTACTTCTTTGGTAGTGGTTGTCATTGCGTTCAACGGTGGTATAGGCGGTAGCGTGCCTAGGTTCAGAGCTCCGATCAAAGGAGTTAACGAAGTCGTGATGTCTGATGACGTTGCAGGTGGCGGCGTCTATGATGGGACTTTAATCTTTTGTTACGACTGGGATATGTCGAGCTGTCTAAGTCCGAGTGGACTGAGATTCAGCGAGACAGACGTGGTTCTTCTCTCAATTGAGAGGTCAAAGGTTTCTGGCTAAGGCGAGTATCGGCGACTCCCTTAGAATAATGGTTCTTAGATAGAAAGGTTGGGGACCTTGCTAAAGGACTATGTTCCAGGTAGAACCCAGTAGATTAAAGTGAAGAATACAAGTGGTACGCTATGTGTCTATATAGCGAGTGTTCAAGCGGAGCTTGTAAATGGCGTATCAAGATAGAAGGCGGACAGCCCGCTTGATAAGAGATAACAGCTATGCATGGTGACGGTTACTGGAACGGAAGGTGAGCTTGGCGATAATATGAGTAAGGGTCTGGAAAGTAATCGGACGCTCAGTAGCAGATATAACAAAGGACCACTGTCTGGTAACAAAGGAAAAGTTAGGGGAATAAGTATACCGTAACAGATGTATGCCGATTGGCCATTGCTGCTTCTCGGATTCCTGGAGGTAGAGTTCGATATGGACTTTATATATGTGGGAACAAAGGGGGGTATTGCTTGTAGATGAACTGTAAATAGTTAGGGGACAGGATGAGGCGATCTTATTTTCATTCCTGGTAAAGGTGGTGAGGAAGAACATAAAAGACCCCCAGATATGTTACTTACTCGCATGGAATGCAAATGCGCTCGCCAGTGTCTGAGTTCTTCCTAAGAAACACTGGACATCAGAAGTAGACTTAAGGCCTCTTTTTCTCGTGGCAAAGGGATCGGTGAGGAGAGTACTAGTCGTTGTCTGTAGTGGGCTCGGGTGTGTGTGGGCATTGACTATGACTTCAGGTGGGTCATCTTCGTCTTCACCGCTGCTGACATTATTGAGGTCGATCCACTCGCTGTTACAGGCATCTGTAACACCTACAGGAGCCTCAGCTCTGCCTATGCCTGCCCCCGCTCTGCTAGACTCCCCGCACGGCGGTGCGCCGCCCGCGCCTAGAAAGACAGCGGTCTGGACCGCTGTGACACCGCCCCTGGCGCTATGACACCGCCCCTGGCCTAGACGGCCTTGTACCTGATCCATGGAGGCTGTACGCCTCATGGTCACCCTAGATCAGCGCATGCATACCGCATGTCGCTTCATGAAGATCCGGAGCGCTCTTGGCGCTTCCTGTACCTATGCACAGTCGCACTTGGCGCTGCATGCTTGATCAGAGGTTAAGCCTCATGTACTTATCTGAACCTCATGTCTTGTTATCATAGATCCTAGATATACTATAGATTACAGACTGAGCTTGAACACTTGTAGTTAGACCCTATAAGTAGACAGATTATTGTACTTGGACTTTACTTTAATCTACTAGGTTCATCCCAGAACTTGTTCAACTAAGCCTCTCAGCTTTCTTGCATAAGACCGCACTTCTAAGTCGCTCCCTTACGACTTAGCACGTATCCGCTAGCCCTGTATCTCGACGAGCGCCGTCTTACCAAGATCACCAGAGGAACCTTTGACGTTCTGTCAAGCCGAGAACCACCCTCAGCTTCAGTAGACTCACTCGAGTCGTCACTGAGAAGACCTATCCTAGTTCGCACACACCGACCGACGGTCAGCGTAACACTCGCCATCGTCCAGATGAGTAGCTGTGTCGTCCTGCCTAAATCTCTGGGGAAGCTTCTGTTGTCTCCTAGGGCGGTGAAGAGCAGTAGCAATTGCAGCAGCTGCAGTGGTAGTTGCAGCAGCAGCAGGAATGACAGGAATGGGAGTGGGAGCAGCAGGAGGGAGAGCAGCAGGAGCAGGGGCGACAGGCTCAGGAGCAGCTTCAACCTGGGGAATTTTAGTGTTTTGTCGACGACGGCCACGACGGTTCATGTTAGTAGCAGTAGTGCTGGAGATAGAACGAGAGACTTGCCTATGTAGTATATATACCTTTGTCCTGGGTCTCCCCAGGAAAATACCGATGTGTACGATGGCATGGAATCACCTGCGTTGCAGGGTCTAAACACGATGATTGATGGTGATACATAATGAAAAGGACATACACATACATTTTGCTTAGCGACTCTCCATAGCATCACAACTTGACCCTACTGTATCGGTCAGATCACAGTGACCGGTTCTTGGATGTAGGTGGGGATCTCCATGAGGAGAATGTGAGGGTTGAATCCTGGGTGAGATCAGTTCATACAGTCATACTTGTGATATTTAATAGTGATACTACCTGGTGTGTTTAGACGGCATTGATATAACCTTGAGTTCATATAGCTGCTAGCATCAGCCGTTGTGATGTAAGGGACAAAACACCTGTGTCTGGAACGTACAAAATAGCATGCTTTGGTGAGAATGCAGTGAGTATGAGGAGGACTTGCAGTGCATGCCAAGACTCTCCAGTTTGCAAGACATGCGTGAATGTATGCCTTAAATCCAGCCATTTCGAAAACTGGGAATATAGTGTTGAATGCTGGGTGCATGGTATGATCGAGATCAAAAATGGAAGAAATGAGGACATACATACATGTTGCTTAATGACTCTGCATAGCATCACAACCAATCCCTACTGTATTGGCCAAATCGCAGTGACCAGTTCTTGTTACAGGGATCTGTAACACCTACTAGAGCCCCAGCTCTCCCTACACCTGCCCCCGCTCTGCTAGATTCCCCGCGCGGCGGTGCGCCGCCTGCGCCTAGAAAGACAGCGGTCTGGACCGCTACGACTCCGCCTCATGGCGCTATGACCCCGCCTGATGCTATGACCCCGCCCCTGGCCTAGACAGCCTTGTACCTGTTCCATGGAGGCTGTACGCCTCATGGACACCCTAGATTAGCGCATGTATACAGCATGTCGCTTCATGAAGATCCGGAGCGCCCTTGGCGCCTCATGTATGAAGACCCGGAGCGCTTGGCGCTTCCTGTGCCTATGCGCAGCTGCCCTTGGCGCAGCATGTATGATCAGAGGTTAAGCCTCATGCACTCTATCTAAAACTCATGTCTGGTTATCTTAGATGTACGATATACTATAGATTACAGACTGAGCTTGAACACCTACATACACTATGTATAAGTAGGCACATTGTTGTAGATTATACTTCACTTTAATCTACTAGGTTCTACCACAGAACTTGCTCATCTAAGCCTAACCAGCTTCCTTGTGTGAGACCGCACTTCAAAGCCGCTCCCATACGACTTTGCACGTATCCGCTAGCCCTGCATCTCGACGAGCACCGTCTTACCGAGATCGCCGGAGGAACCTTGGACGTTCCGTCTAAGCTAGACCACGCTCAGCTTCAGTAGACTCACTCGAGTCGTCGCTGAGAAGACTCATCCTAGTTCGCACACGCCGACCTACAGTCGACGTAACAGTTCTTGAATGTAGGTGGGGATCTCCGTGAGAATGCGAGGGTTGAGTCCTGGGCAAGATCAGTTCATACAGTCGTACTTGTGATAATTAATGGTGATACTCATGAGGACATACATACATGTTTTGTTTAGGAACTCTCCATAGCCGTCCTTACTGTATCAGCCAGACCAGTGACCAGTTCTTGAATGTAGGTGGGGATCTCCATGAGGAGAACATGAGGGTTGGGTCCTGGGTAAGATCAGTCCATACAGTTGTAGCCGCAGAATGATCAAAGAGAAAAGATTGGGCGAAATTGGGGTGGTCATCACTGTGGTGTACTGATGAGAGGGCAGATCAAAGCGTGGGAATCAATATCCGGGAATTACACAGCATATGCACACAGACCATGTGCAATATATATTATATACGTAGATACTATTAAACAATGTCCAGCATGCACAGACGTAGTACAGAAAAAAGAAAAATAACTATACAACTCTTGTCTTTATCTGACACAAGGTGGGAGGTGCAGGCATTAGGGTATCATTGCGTGAATGTAAGCTTGAAAGCAATGAGGTCGTGAGTGCTGTGTGTAAGGATACATGAAATTACTTACAGACGAGTTGATCTGCGAAGAGGTGTTGCCTTTGGCAGACATAGCACTGATTCAGAGGCTTGAGGACGTTGAGGGGAAGGTGCTATGGGATAATCAAAATCCAGGGAGTAAGCAGCTGGTGCAGGCCCTGTGGTGCGAAGATGGTGAAGCAAAGAACGAAGATGATCGTAATCAGGATCCTCTGAGAACGAGAGAGAGCGTGAGTAGACAAGAATATTTGCGAACGCAGTAGGAATTCCATCACATAAATCAGTGATGGTGGTATCTACTTTACACTCGAGTATCCAGGAGCTGGAAAGCCTCTCTTGGTCACCATGTAGCCATGGAAGGGAGCCACGTAATAAATAGATTAACATATAAGCGAGTGATTCAAGATCGTCATGGCGACCCGGCTCCAATCCCAAGTGATTGTTGATTGAGGCAAAGGTGGGGGTGCCTGTGAGATGTCGACCTCGACGAAATAGGATGTGGGATTTGGTTGCAGTATTCCGGTATCTTTTCGTGATACCGAAGTCGATAATATAGGCAGTTTGCCTTGAACTGTCCATCAAAATGTTCTGCGGTTTCATATCACCATGAACATAGTCATGTAAATGAATGTACTCGAGACACGACAGCTGGAAAACAAGTTAGTAACTGCAGTGGCCCACAACAAATTTGAACAAAAATACCAGCTGGTCTCCTAAGTTAAGAATGGTTTGAAGACTAAATTTGTGGTTACATGCAATGAAGAGCTCATGCAACGATGGCCCAAGGAGGTCGAGAGCCAAGGCGTGATGCATTGACTCCCTGCCAAACCAAATGGCACGGGGAATCCCAACTCCACCTTCGAGTTGCTTGAGAATTTGGTGTTCGTGCTCCAGAGAAGATGAATTATTAGTGACTGGTTCAAGTTTGATAGCGACAATATCATCATTGAGGAAATTTTTTGCACGGTATACAACAGCTAGTAATATATATTGAAAACTTGAATGTGAATCCATTGATTATCGAACGTACCATATGAACCTGACCCCAAAATATCTTCCAGCCTGAATCTGCCGTCAATTCGAGTTGGTACCTTATGCATGCTAGAGGACTCAATGTTACAGGGAGAGATTTGACGGTAGGGCACACTGCATGGTGCCCACTGCACACAGTGTGCAGGGTTGTTTAACTCTCACGTGACTAAAGCCAACTGTAGCCAACTTGAACTGGCTTGAGTCAATGTTTCTGGATAAATGGCTCATAGCCGACTCATGCAGTTAACAAGTCGAACCAAGCTGGACAATGCGGTTCAACTTGCCAGTATAGCCAAACTACAGATGTAGCCGGTAAAAGCCGAGCCCGAGCTGGGCCGAGCCGAGCCATGACATAACTACTCACAATAGTATGCATACAGGCTTCTCTATATCAATACTATTGCCAGGGAGCTTCTCAGGATCCTTGTTCCCCCCATTGCACACTTCTTTTGAGAATAGCGCTTCTCACTGCTTATTTAGGATGTACCGCCGGCTTACGCTATCAGTGATGTGCCTTTGTGTACCTTGGTTCGGAATTCTCAGCTCTTGCCATTTACGGCCTTTCCCATCACTCCCTCTCACTACCACTTGACGCCTGGCCACCTTGTCAGGGCACCCTTCCTCGCCCTACAGCAGTTGTCTGCTTCCCTCAGGTATATGTCCTCTTCTCTCTTGCTCCTTTTCTATATACATACACTCACCACATTCGAAGGGGTCAGTGTTCTGTCCTCCATTGTTGGCAGGGGTGGACCTCCCTCTCCATGACCAGCATTGTACACTTCGCGTACTTCCGGTGCTCTCCCTAGCGACGGCATACATTATGCTTCATCCTTTTTTCTGTCCTAATGGTGAGTGGGAGCTGGACCTACAAAGGTGCCTATGCACACTCATTGCACGTTCGCATGGACAGGGTACTGCAAACACTGTATACGCTGTAGAAGGGCTTCACGGTGGTCAAGAAGATTCGTCAGTTTTCTACATTCTTGCAGTCCCGCTTTCCGTGAAAAAGTAAGTCGTCCATGACCAATTGTCTAAGCTCAACTTAAGTGTGCATTGCTCAGTGCATCATACATTCAGGACCACACCTTCTGCATCCACTGTTCCACTGCTTGCTTATGTATACCCTTACATCTATCCGCTCATGTATAGTTTTGTTTTGATGTCCCAGCACTAGTATAGCAATATATATTGATTTTTTTGAAGTACAAAATATCTGTCCTGAAGCGGTGGCTGTGTCGATGTGTGTTGACGTCTTATTCAACCAATATTTGGCTCAGTCTTGACTAGGACTCTCCTCAATCACATCATGTACACATCCTTTATATAAAACTTGAGCCATGGACACCATTACAAATCAATTGACAATGAATGTGCGTTAGTGTGGCCTTTTTTATTCACTCAAACTTACAAGTCCTGCAGCTTTTCAAACAGTTTTAATGTTTTGCTTGTAACACTAACTTTTGCAGAATTACAACTTCGGATGAATTCAATGCTTGTGCGGTGGGAGTGGGAGTGGGAGTTGGGGAGCCATGTACATGGTATGTCCGCCCATCTCAGCTTTAGCCATGCGCTCTGCCTCCCTAATTGCTGCTCATCTCTGCCTTGGTGCATTGTGCTTGCACCATTCACTCCTGGAGCCGTACTTGAGCCTGGAAGTGTTGTTCCTGCACCATTTGATGGTGAACCTCGACACATTGGACCTCCAGCATTTGCTCCTGGAGTTGTTGCTGAGCCTGGAGCTGTTGCCGAGCCTGTTGAGTGTGGGCATTCAACATATTTCCTGCATGGACTGCATGGGCTAATTGGTGTGTGAACTGGACCATATGCATTGGGCGCTTGAACTTGACTACTCCTCTCATTCTCGTGCCTTCTGGCATCATCCACACATTCGAGCCATGTCAACATCTGCTCGCTACCT